AGGTTCAAGCAGGTCAGAGCAGACAGGCAAGCAGGTCAAGCAGGTGGCAAGCAGGCAAAGCAGACAGGCAAGCAGGTCAGAGCAGACAGGCAAAGCAGCGAGAGGGCAAGGTCAGAGCAGGCACGCAAGCAGGAGAGATAGCAAGCAGGCAAATAACGATAAGTCACGGACGAGGATTGAAAACACAAGAGGAAGAACAAGGAAGAACAATCAAAATGAAAAAAAGATGGTATAATACCAAACAAGACAATGAAAATCACAAAAGAATACCGAAGAGGAGAAACATAAGAGGGAAAAAAAACAAAAGGAGAGAGAGGAAGATCACACAAAGAAACAACACAATAGCAACAAAGAAAACAAACCCATCGCAATAAAAAAAAAACAACAACAACAAAAGGTCAGCGCAAGATGCAAAGCAACTGACACCATCGCCCTAAGAATAGACGAAAAAGGGAAAGAAAAACTAAGAGAAAAGAGAAAAAAAGATAATTCACGGGAGCGAGTGAAAGGGACAAGAAGACCATCGCAGCAAAAAAAAAATCCTCCCTCAGGATATGCTAAACACAAGAAAAAGGGAAAGGAGGGAAGGAGGGAAGAAAAAGAAGGGGGGAGGGAGAGTGAATGATACATAGAGATATAATGAGAGAGAGAGAGAGAGAGAGAGAGAGAAGAGAGAGAGAGAAGAAGAGAGAGAGAGAGAAGAGAGAGGAGAGAGAGAGAGAGAGAAGAGAGAGAGAGAGAGGAGAGAGAGAGAGAGGCGGAGGGAGAGAGGGAGAGAGAGAGAGAGAGAGAGAGAGAGGAGAGAGAGAGAGAGAGAGAGAGAGAGAGAGAGAGAGAGAGGAGAGAGAGAGAGAGAGAGAGAGAGAGAGAGAGAGAGAAAGGGCGAAAGATAAATAGAGCGCGCGCGCGCGCGCAACATGGAGATCGAGAGCGAGATGAAGGAAGTAAGGAAGAGGAAGAGAGAGGAAACGCAGCGAAAAAAAAGAGGAAGGGGGCGTCTGGGTGGGGAGCGTGTGGGGGGGGGAACGTGGTTTACCTGTCATCCCTCCCCACAGCCCCCCTCTCACCCCCACACCCCACCTCCCCCCCCCCCCCCCTCACCTCTTTCATCCCCTCCATATAAGGTCAAGCGGTAGTGGGTCAAGGTGACGGGAGCCTCCCACACCCCACGGAGCTCCGGCCAAGGCAATCGGGGGTCACACTCCGCGTCTGAAGTTCTCTCTTCTCCTACGTTCTCTCCTTGCCCGTTCTCTTCGTTCTCCTTTCTGTTCTCTTCGTTCATCTCCCCTCTTTCGTTTCGTCTCCTCCTTCGTTTTCTCTCCTCTTTTTCCCCCTTGCATCTCTTCCTTCGTTTCCACTCCGTTCGACCTCTTCCCTTTTATTATCTCGCCTACTAAGCCCTCTCGTATTTTATTTCGTTTTCCCTCTTTCTTCATTTCCGGTCTTCCTCCATTCTCTCTTTCTTCGTCCTCTCTCCTTCTTCGTTCCCTCTCCTACTTCGTCCTGTCATATCCTTCAATCTCATTTCTACATTTATTCCTTCATCTTTATTCCTCCTTTTCCTCCCAGTAACTTCACTTTCCATCCTCCTCTACACCCACCTCTATCTCTCCCTCTCTCTCTCTCACTATCACTCTCTCTCTCTCACTATCACTCACTCATTCACTGTCACTCAATCATTCACTATCACTCAATCATTCACTATCACTCACTCACTCTCTCTCTTTCTCTCTTACTTACTCACTCACTCTCTCTCTCTCTCTCACTTACTCACTCACTAACTCTCTCTCTCTCTGTCTATCAGTCTCTGTCTCCGTCTCCGTCTCTCTCTGTCTCTCTCTCTTCGCGCCCCAAACGTCACCGCGAAGGACACGCAGCGCCTGAATTCATTACCTTCAATCTAATTCCCTTATCTCGCACTCTTTCAGACCTCCTGACGGCGGATTGCGGCTTTGCTAACGAGGCAAGGGATGGGCGAGATGGGAAGGAGGGACACGAGAGGAGAGGGAAGAGAACGGAAGAGAAGGGATAGACGAGAAGAGAGAAGGGATAGACGAGGGAGAGAAAGGGATAGACGAGGGAGAGAGAGGGGAAGAGAGAAGCGATAGACGAGGGAGAGAGAAGGGATAGACGAGGGAGAGAGAAGGGATAGACAAGGAAAAGAGAGAGGAAGAGAGAAGGGATAGACGAGGGAGAGAGAAGGGATAGGGACGAAGAGAGAAGAGAGAAGGGAAGAGGAAGAAGAGAAGGGAAGGGAGGTGGGATAGTGATAGATGAGGGGAGATAAGGAAGAGGGGAAGGAGACGGGATGGACGAGGAGAGAGAGAGGAGAGGAAGAGAGAAGAGATGGAGATAGATGAGGGAAGAAGGGGAAGACGGGAGGAGGCAAGCGATGGACGGGGGGAAAGGGGCAGAGAGAAGAAGAGAGAAGAGACACACAAGAAACGGGAAGAGAAACAAGAAAGAGGGAAGAGAAGGGAGGAGGAGAAGGGAGAGACGAAGGGTTAGCAACTAAGGAAAGGGTTGAGTTGGGGGAAAAGAGTATCGGCAAGGTAGAGAAAGGAGGAAATGGGGAGGTGGGTGGAGTGAGAGGGAGTGTGCGTGCGTGTGTGTGTGTGGGGGGGGGTAGTCAGTGGGGTTGAAGGGATAGTCTGTGGGGGGGGTCAGTGGGGTTGAAGGATAGTTTGTGGGGAGGGGGGGGTTGAAGGTGGAAGAGGCTGATTATCGACGACATAAATAGTGCATGGAATTATACAGTGTTCAGGATTCACCTTCCCCATGTCCATCGGTCTCTCTTTCTCTCTCTGTCTCCCTCCTTCCTTCATTCTTTCTCTTTCTTTCTTCACCCTCCCCATCCTTCCCTCCCCCCCCCCTCTCTCTCTCTCTCTCTCTCTCTCTCTCTCTCTCTCTCTCTCTCTCTCTCTCTCTCTCTCTCTCTCTCTCCTCTCTCTCTCTCTCTCTCTCTCTCTCTCTCCCTCTCTCTCTCTCTTTGTATGTATATATTATCTCTTATCTACTCACTCCTTCTGTCTCAGTTTGTCTGTCTGTCTATTTTACCTACTTTATTATATATATAGTAATCTGTCTGTCTATGTATCATTTTCTATCTGTTTACCTATGTTAACTTTCGATCTGTTTAAATACGATTTATCTGCCTGTCTGTCTGCCTCATTCTACTCTCTCTCTCTCTTTCTCTCTTTCTCCTTCCCGAACAGATCATCAAACGACAAACTAACGGATAATTACCGATAACCAATATTCTGATAACTGAGTAAAAAAAAAAAAAAAAACTATTTTTCCCGGAAAAAATAAATCCAGCATCACCATTTTGCAATCACCATAATCTTAATTTACTTCACTATGAAAAAATCCATCGATCGAACAATAAAGCACAATAGGCATGAAACTAAAAAAAAAAATCACAAAATAGTATTAAGATTGGATATTTCTCCCCCCAAATTGGATGCCGCATAACCAGTGCACAACTCACCCCCCCCCTCCCGTGTTACTTAGCTAAGAGTGATCAAATCTAAAAAAAAAAAAAAAAAAAAAAAAAAAAAAAAAAAAAATCATAAAAGCAAATTTAAACTTGTCCGATCGAACAGAGTAAATAATAATAATAATAATAATAATAATAATAATAATAATAATAAAATAATAATAATAATAATAATAATAATAAAAAATAAAAAAAATAATAAAAAAAACTTGCCATATTAAAGCCGCATCACGCCTTCCAAGGTTTAAAATCGGACATCGATATCACATTTCACTCCGGAACTGCCGCCCCACCTCCGTAAGAAAACAACTTAGCATAGTGTGGGCGTATCGAGTGACATTCCACTAAAAACAACAACAACAGTTTAGCAAGACTGAGAAACAGCAACAACAATAGTTTAGCAAGACTGAGAAACAACAACAACAACAGTTTAGCAAGACTGAGAAACAACAACAACAACCGTTTAGTAAGACTGAGAAACAACATTTTAGCAAGACTGAGAAATAAGTTTAGCAAGACTGAAAAACAACATAAACAACCGTTTAGTAAGACTGAGAAACAACATTTTAGCAAGACTGAGAAACAACATTTTAGCAAGACTGAGAAATAACAGTTTAGCAAGACTGAGAAACAACAACAACAACAACATTTTAGCAAGACAGAGAAACAACAACAACAACAACAACAACATTTTAGAAAGACTGAGAAACAACAACATTTTATAAAGACTGAGAAACAACAACAACAACAACAGTTTAGGAAGACTGAGGTGATGAATGGGGAAGGTAAACTGCTCCGCATAAGCACTTGTACATATTTGTTTCCAATTAATTCAAAAGTTATATATGCGTTTGATGTCATTGAGTTCAGTCAGGTGATTACGGAACCGTATACTAGTTAGCGAGAGGAGTGATTTTTTTTCTTTTTACTTTTTGTAACTGCTATCATTATCATGATTCGATTTTGAAAACTGTTTATAAAATATGTTGAGATTTAATCGAAATTACCATCAACGATTCCCATCAACACAGGAATCACGTGAACGAAAAATATAATTTTCTAGATTAAGCGTGTCCCCCCTTCGCAGAGCATAAAAGAAAATGGTCAAATGGGAACACGGTAGAAAAAGGTCCCGTTGTAGGGATGACTTAAACAGACTTGATTATTTCGTTCCTCGTTATTTTTCTCCCTTCTTCTTTTCTCTGTATACTTCATTTACATTTCCTACTTATTCCCTGATTTCTCTCTCACTGCCCTAAATCGCTCAAGCATAATAATTCTCTCTTTAAACTACGATCTCCCTTTTCTTCTCTCGCACCTGCCGCCCGTCCGCACTACTACTCTCTTCCACCTGGAACAAAACATTTTCAAAACCCTTTTTCCTCCCTTTCTTCCGTATCACAAACAAATTCGCTTCCCCCTTTGGTGCTTTAACAACCCTCCCTTTCTTCACACACACCTTACTCACTCAATTCCTCACCCACTTATTCACTTAACGCACCTAAATCATCAAACACTTCAAACACTTCAACCATACTACCTCTTTACCCTTCTTCCTCTTCTAATCCAAACATTAAACAATCACACAAAAACAAACTAAACAATTAACCACTCTCTTTTAAGAGAAAGTCAACAAATTAAACTTCCCCAAAAATATATACATTCATACAATAATAAATAATAACAATTATAAATAATAATAACAAATAATAATAATAATGATAAACCAAAAAACTACTGCTCAACACAATACAATCAACCTTTATTAAACCAACCCCACTAATACGCACACAAACACACATACACACATAAGACCCTCACAGCAGCTGGTGCAAAGTTCATGTTCTTGCTCCTGCACACTTGACCTTTGACCTTTCGGCTAATCCTCCCCTTACTGGATGAAATTAATTACACAGTGCGAGAGAAAAAAGTTCCTCCTGGAAGTAAGGAAGACGGGGCTGGATAATAATACAGGAAGAGGAATAAACAAGACGAAAGATCTGGAAGCAGGAAAAGAAAAAGTATACCGCATCGACCCAGGTGGCAAATCTTGCAATTTAAGAACAGATACAAAAAGCAGGAGGAATAATGAATAATAAAACAAAAATGATAATAGAAGGGGGTGAATAAAAGGCAATGAAATTCTATAGAATGGCAAAAAAAAAAAAAAAAAAAAAAAATCGTAGTGCTAATAGTAAGGGATAACACTATGGTAATAGGAGGGATAATCAGAGAAAGTCAACATAACCTAAAAAGATATGAGAAAATTAAAAAGCTAATAGCCAGGGTAAGATGAAAGAAAATAAATGTGTTAAAAGAAGGGATAATAGAATAATTTCAAAATAAAAAAATAATCAAACAAATAAACAGCTTTTGCCTTCTAATGCCCAGACCAACAAACACTTGATAAACCAAGGGAACCAAATATACACAAAGAAAATAGGATCAGGAGTGCATCAAATAAACAAACACCCAAAAGAGAGAGAAAAAGAGTGGGGAGGGAGGAAAAGAGAGAGAGAGAGAGAGAGAGAGAGAGAGAGAGAGAGAGAGAGAGAGAGAGAGAGAGAGAGAGAGAGAGAGAGAGAGAGAGAGAGAGAGAGAGAGAGAGAGAGAGAGAGAGAGAGAGAGAAAATAATCATAACAAAGGCAATAACACCTCCCCAGCATACAAATCACAGGTAAAACAAAATCTTCCTACGAACACCCAGCAACGCAAATCTCCTGTACTCACCCTCTAGTCCGTGAACGACTCCTCTGCCTGGAATAGCTCGGTGAATCCTCGAGGCGCCGTCGTCTTCTATCTCGATCCCGGTCCCTCGAACGGCTCCTGCTGCGGCTCCGTTCAGTTGTCGATCGATGACGCCTTGAACGTGGCATCTGGTGGAACAGAGGAGAGAAGTGGTTATGTTGAGTCTAGCAAGCTATGGCATTTAGGGTTATTTTCATTTATTGTTGCTGTTATATTCACTAATTTGACTCCTTATCAAAATAATTTGTTATTCTGTACCATACATCTTCATTTCACATCTAACACAATATCAATTTGTCATATTGGAAATCTTGAACATCAATTGCAAAAATCAAGATAAAAGGAGAAAACAGATAACAGCTAATCCAAACATCTATGATGACTTTAAACAAATTAATAAACACATAATAAAATAAATAAATAAATAAATATATATAGATATCTTAATTGGAAAAATTATCAAAAAAATATACAAATATACAGTAAACCTATCTAAAAAAAAAAGGCATTCAGAGCTATTGTATTCCACTCATAACATAACATTTCAGTATACAAGTTATTTATGAGCATTTTAACTGATAACCAGTATCAATTAAAACAGGAACCCCCATAACGCTCTTCCTGGTCAGCAACAATCTAGTGCCTGCCAACAAAGCCTAGAATCCATGTTGAAAGCACTCAAAATATAACAGCAGATTCAATTAATGGCATATTGCAAACCCAGAAGCTAGCAACAGAGCATTATTTTCACTATTCCTTTTTCAACCACGGTTCCAGGAAAAAGAATGAATACATGCCAATTAAAGAAGGGAAAAAGAATGAATAAGAAGAAGTAATTTTCTCGAGGATTAATTCAAAGATGAATGGTTTAATCGTATTGAAGTTATGAACCACAATCATTCCCCTCTCAATTCACATCCAGGGTTTTCAAATGAAGTGTGGGAGTCATTAAGACCTAATTCAAAGAGAAAAAGAATATCAACAGTATGTTCTGAAAAGCGATAACATTTTCCTGAAGCCATTCATATGCAAAACTTATCCCACTTAATCCAAGAAACCTCATCCAGCAATGAGATAAAAAACAGAGAAACAAACGAAAATCTGTTCAAGGGAGGGAGAACAAATCACTACAAGCAATAGAAATATATACCACAAGGAGAGGGGGACGGGGAAAGGAAATTCATATAAGAGAGAGAATATGAGAGAATGAGAAAAAAAAGAGAAAACAAATATAATGGAAACATTAGGGGGAAAAAAGAAAAAAAAAAAAAAATCTGGTACCAATCCTTACTTCAGCTCTTTAAATGATGCCAGAGATATAATCTAAGACCGTATCAGTGATCCTAAACCCTTGACCACAAACACATGCGAACAACAAGGAAGTACATCTGCATATCAAAGCCCTGACTCCTTTCTCCAGCAAGCAAAATGTTCACCTCACATTCTTCACTGGTCTTTTCTCCAAGACCTTCATCACATCATGAACATCTTGACTGAACAGATGGCAAGCTTCAAGGTGGATGAGGCAAACTAGCAGGAAAATATCAACTAATTCATCCTTGTCAAAATATCAGCTGATCTGTTGTTTCCCCTTTTACCTTAGCTAAAATTACAGCAAAATATCACCAACCTTGTTCTCTTTTTCAATCACTTTACTCTGCCTCAATTTAAACAGATGGCCACAGCTGTGATAAAATCTATTGTCATAAATAATGTAATAAACAAGGATGTAAACACCACACAAGAAAAAAAAAAAAAAGAAAAGAAGTCATATTTATATAACCTCAAAATCTCCGCCAAGGTCTTATTTGAATTTTAATGAGCAAAGGTTGTACTGGTAGGTTTATTAATTCTTTATGTTAAAGAGACTAAAAGAGAGGTCAGCAAGCTTTCAATTTCCACAATATTGCTAAATCACAGTCAGTAAATTTAAAAAAATCATTAACATACACCTGCCCCCAGAAAACTGAAATAATGTGATAAAATACACCTATCTAATCATCATCACCATGATGATAAATATGAATGGTAACAATAAATACAATGATAACAATGATGATAGCAGCAACAGCAAAAATGTGATAATCATATACAAAACATCTAAAAAAAAATATATAAAATGATGAAAATAATAATAATAATAATAATAATAATAATAATAATAATAATAATAATAATAATAATAATAATACCACAATAATAATGATGATAATAATAAAAGACTAATAATGATAATGATAATAAAAAATAATAAAAATAATAATACCAATGATAATGGTAATGATTATATAACAACAATAGATAACATGAATGATAATAATGATGATAATTTTAATAATGATGATTATTATGTAATATAATGATGATTTTAATAATGATCATGATTATAATGATAATATAATGATGATAACAACAATGATAATTGTAATACTAATAGTAATAACAGTAATAACAATATGATAAAAATAATAACAACAACTACAATTATAATAATAACAATACTCCTACTACTAATAATAATAATATTAATAAAAAAATAATGATACTACTACTAATAACAATATCACTAATAATTACAATAATATAATAACAACAACAATAATGATGATGGTGGTGGTGATAAGAAAAAAAAAATGATGATAATAATAAAATAATGGTTATTACAGTAATAATAATGGTTATCATAATAATAATGGTTATGTAATAAAATAATGATATCTACTAATAATAAAAATAGTAATATATAATATATATAATAGTAGTAGGTAGTAGTATGATAATAATTAATAATAATAATAATAATAATAATAATAATAATAATAATAATAATATCATTATTATTATTATTATTATTATTACAAAAAAAATAAAAAAAATAATAATAATTATAAAATAATAATAATAATAATAACAATAATAATAATAACAATCATTTCAATGATGAAAACCTTTAAAAATAATAATAATAATAATAGTAATGATAATGATGACAATATCAATAATAATAATTAACAAAACAACAATAATAATAATAATAATAATAATAATAACAACAATAATAACAACGGTAGTGCAGAAATTCATCATCACCATCATCATACTCATAATAATTATCATATTAACAATAAAACTAATATTATCATTAATAATAATACTTATCACCATCATAACAGTATTTCTAATCGTAATAGCAATATTGCAATAGTAATATTGTAATAGTAGTAGTAGTAGTAGTAGTAGTAGCGGTAATTATCACGACAATAATCATTACAATAATAATATAAAATAAATCCATACATAAATGTACTCTCAACATCAACATTCTTTTGTATAGTGCCAATTCTATGATATGTGCATGGTGCCACATTTCTGCCGTGTGCATGGTGCCACATCTCTGCCGTGTGCACAGTGCCACATCTCTGCCGTGTGCAAAGTGCCACATCTCTGCCGTGTGCAAAGTGCCACATCTCTGCTGTGTGCACAGTGCCACATCTCTGCTGTGTGCAAAGCGCCACATCTCTGCCGTGTGCAAAGCGCCACACAGTGTGCTGTGCCACATCTCTGCTGTGTGCACACCACATCTCTGCTGTGCGCCACAGTGCACAGAGCCACATCTCTGCCGTGTCACAGAGCCACATCTCTGCCGTGTGCACAGTGCCATATCTCTGCCGTGTGCACAGTGCCACATCTCTGCCGTGTGCACAGTGCCACATCTCTGCCATGTATACGGTGCCACATCTCTGCCATGTATACGGTGCCACATCTCTGCAGTGTGCACAGTGCCAC